GCCCAAAGAATCCCTAAGAGTAGAACGGTGCAGCGAGAAGAGAGATCGGCCACCATCTTCTCCGACTCCGGCCTAGCGCCTCTATGGTCAATTCCCGTTCAACCGGTGAGCCATTTGTCGATTTCTTGCAGCAATAGAAACCTTAGACAGTGTTCCACCCGCTGAATGTAATGCTTTCGGCATCCACCTACCAGATCAAGCCATCGTTGTGTCATCGTCCTTTTTGTCGTTCGTCGCCATTATCGCCGCCACATCTCCATAGCACCTCGGACCTCTTCTGGCTTAGCCGAGAGCTGGTTAAGCTTCCTAATAACCTGGAAAATCCTCTGCATGTGTAGGTCTAGCAAAATCGTTGCCGCATTGTCACATGCATGTGCAGCCCCGATGCAGCCCCACCACTGGAGCTCTCTGCCGGCGAGTTTCTGGCCATCTCCGACCACCGCTGGTGGAGCTGAGTAAATAAATGGATTTGCACGAGGCTCCTATTCTTTTTATCTTTTGTCAGCAACCTCATCCGAGTTGCCGTTTGGCGCCGGCGCCAACGAACGTAGGTGCCGGCCATGGCTGCTCTGTTGCTGGACGTTTGGAGAAGAAGATTGGACTTTGTTGCATATTTTAGAAATCTCAGGGTTCGAGATGCAAAAGTACAGTCCAAAAGAAAATTTGAAGAACTGAAAAATAGGCAAACTTCAAAAATCCATAAGTAATTCATTTTAACTCATTTTTTTTGAGTCAACCAAATTTCTATGTATTCATAAACTGGTGGTATTTATGTTTGTAAAATAAAACTTTCCAACTTCCGTACATAAAATGTCACTAAAATTTTGAGTAGCACAAAAACACTTATTTTGCACCTAGGACGTAAAATCTCTAGGAAATTTATGCTAAATTCTTAAAAAAAACCACATATGTTGATCTTATAAAAAAAGGAAGAAAATAATATGACAAAACTACCTCCTAAAACATGCCTAAAGATTAAATAATTTTTCTTTTGTTAAATTTGTAGATTTCATAACTATATCATTTTAACTCCAAATGTAGTGAAACAAATTTTGCTAGAACCAGTGAGTTATGATATTTTAATTTGAAATTATAGCACTTATGAAATATAACTAGAAAATGTAAGCATATCTTTTGACCTAGGGTAGTTCATATATAATTACAGAAATGTCATTTTCAGTGCATATGGCTTATTATTTTTATTTCTCCCAACCAATAATTTGTAAATGAAATGATTATTATTCCTGAAAATAATTTTATCATAGCCTCTACCTACTGTATTTATGCCATGATTTATGGAGCATGCTGCATATGGATGTTTATTTGAATCTTATTAGCATATTTGCCTTTTATCGGTAGATTCGGATGTTCCGGAGTACGTGGAGTAAAAACCTTAGATCAAGTGTGATTACTCATAGTAGCAAGGGAAGAATCTAAGCATATAGAACCCTTATTTTGACTAAAAAAATTTGATTGCAAAACACTATATATATGCATGTGTTGATTTATAACCTAATCGTTGCATATCCTTCATTGCTTTGTTGTTATCATTTATCCTTGTAACTTATGGATGGAAGTAACTTGGCAATGTTTTATTGTTTACCGATTCTTAGCCATGCTTAGGTCTAGTGTTGTTAAAAATCAATGGATGGAGCCATCGATTGAACTTAGTCACCACCTGGAGTACGTGGGCATATAATTTGATAATTAAATGATGAATGTGGAAAGCATGATTTGACTTGGATGGGTGATAGAGCAATGACGGGATGGTGTTTCCACGATGCAAGTAGCCCCGTCTATGTCATCAAGAACCAAACATGTTGGCATCTATTAAAACACCATATATACTCCCACATGGCTCATTGGGGACCAGCTTGTCTTAGTACCGAGTGAGGTTGTGGCCATCTATTGTCGTCCGTCATTCGAGTGGGGTGTTTCCCTTGGAGGTACTAATGCGTGCCTAAGTTGGCAAGGGGTATCTCCCATGGTGGTGAACCCGCCTTAGTCACACACACATGCAAGTGGCTAAGTTGTCAAGGGCCTAGGCATGGTTTAGGTGGTTGGGGCTGAGCTTGAGAATGGACATGAGCTTGAATCACTTGTAGGTCACACTTATGTGCGTGTGAAACATTTGATCCTTGTTCATTTTGTGTGGGTAAAGTTTTATATGTCTGATTAGAGTAAAACTATTCGAATAGTGTGTCCACGGTTACGGATGCATATTAGCATCAAACTTTGGTTATATGGTTGGGATACATGGCTTGGTTTAGTCATGGATATAGCGATGTTTATGTTTGGAACCAATGCTTGGGCAAGGCCGCAAGGGTAGCCCATGGAGGTTGATGAGAGAACCGGTTGTGCTCATTTGTGATTCAGTTTCAGATTAGTATACTTGTTGTACAGAAATTTCAGATTAATTATGCTATTTTACAATTCCTATTCTTTCAACTTACTACTTGCTCAGTAAAAGCTCTATGCAAAACTTGAACCATTATACGATCTCTTTAAGTTAGAAGCTTGCATACTTCTCTCTTCCATGTGTATACAAATATTTAAATGTGTAAGACTTGCAACTACAGTCTTGTACATAACCCGATACCTGCAAATTTCAAGTAAGGATACTGACGTGGTTGAATGTTTTTACTACCTTACCGATAGCAGTGAGGGTAGTGAGTAGCCTTTTTAGCATGGCTTTTGTTCCGATCGGTTGCTTGTGTGGGATTGTTGGCACACCACGGGTTTTGCTTTTGCTTATGTGAAATTATGAGACTTTCACTGCTATCTTTTGTGTTGTATGACGATTTTATAAACCCAGTTAAGTCATATGTACCTTGTTGCCCTCTTATCAATATTTATGCATTTGTGATGTTTATCAACTGCTTGCGATGAAAGTGCGAGACTAATTGCTTTTCCTTGTAAGGTGAGGATATGGATACCACATTTATCTGTTCCTCTTGGTGCTTATTCAGCTCCCTTTCTTCGGAAGAGAAGTAGTTATATGGCGCAACTATCTTGGTGTATTGTGATAATATCGACAGCGACGGGTTTGAAAGTTTGTCCCGTTGCCATCCTTCTCCTCCAAGTTCAGTGGCGGCGATCTCGATGGGGGTCTTGGACCCAACCGCCACTTCAGCGACTCCCACCTCATCGTGTCATGAAACGGCCGCCTCGTCCTCGAGCTCCGTCGCGCCTTGCAGGTCACCGCACTCAGGTTAGCAATGTGTCCATCACTCCATCCCTGTGTCAGTGACACATATCCCTCTCATTTACGATTTTGCTAAATATTTGTTGGGTGATTGTTTTCATAGCATTTGACGTTTTTCTGGCTTTCCAAGATTCGTGCGGAAACATGGTTAGTTAGTCCATGGCCGAGTCAACTTGGCCTTAGTATCGATAGATGCCTCTCAAACATCCGGTCTGGTCCTCTTTCGCGTGATTTTTTTTTCGTATTTGACATTTTTTCAACCGTAGGATCTGCACTGCGATTTGTGCAGATTTTACGCTAGATTAGGGTGTGAGGGGCTATGAGGCCACGTGGGGCCACGTTTACCGTAGTCTCCGTGCAAATATTTTGATTTGTGCGCCCATGTCCTTAGCTGATGCCGCCTTCTTTCTATTTCTTTCTTTCTTTTTCTAGTTACCAAAATTTACAGTGTATTTGTACTAAAATTACAGTGCACTTACATGCCATATCTATTGTTTTTACAAATGTAATTTTAGTTATAAAGCACTGTAATTTTAGTTATAAATACAACATTTAACACTCATATATCTGGACGGTTTCTCAAGCAGTGCATTTGTACTAAAAACGACAAATATTCTAGTTACCAAAATTTACAGTGCATTTGTACTAAAATTACAGTGCCCTTACATGCCATATCTACTGTTTTTACAAATGTAATTTTAGTTATAAATGCAATATTTGTGTTAATCTCTAAATACTACTCTACTAACCAGCACAATCACAAGCTACCTCTGTATTGTTGTTTTTTACCGTTGGATGCAAATCCGAGGGGAGAAAAAATCTGGGTGATTTTTTCTGAAAAATCACACAACTTCCCTCATTTAAGTTAGAGGAACCACGTCGCAAAAAACCCTGTGTGGGCCGTGCATGGCCTACTTGCATACTGTGCATAAACTCCGAAGCCCACCTGGGAAAGCTGAGGCTAATATGCGAACGTTTGCGGACCGCGAACAGGTTGAGAGGTTTAGTACTCGTATCATCCAGCTCTGTTGCACTTGCAAGCTCTTAATTAGCAGCACAATTTGCATGCGCATGCACACATCTTGCAGCTAGAGAAAGAGCTGCAGCCATACATGACGACGCTTCAATTAGCATGTACTGTTGGGAGATGCACACGTTTTGCTGTCGAAAAAATTAGGGTGACATTTGTAACTAAAGCATTATTACTACTTAATTAGTGTGTAACTAACGTGTACATAATCTTTTTAGCATCATCTTCTACTTAAATTTTTACCCAATTTTTGAGGCTTTTCATTCAAATAAATAATATTCAAATTATGAACATCTCTACTCACAAATTTTAACCCAATTTTTGAGGCTTTTCATTCAAATTATTAACATCTCTACTCACAAACTTTAACCCAAATTAAACTTCATACATACAAACTTTATGTATATAAACTTTTGATATACAAACTTTATATATAAACACTTTTGATATAAAAACTTTTTATACATATATGAATTTCAAAACAAAATTAAAGTAAATTCTAATATAAAAAAACTATTAAATTTCAATTGGGCTAAAACTAGCACAAACAGAAAGTAGCAGACACGGGCATACATTGAGTAAGAATTCTCGGAAAATCATCTCGCGTCTTGTACGTGCGTCGCGTAGCAAATGACCAAAAAAATCACCTGCGTGATCACTCAAAAGTTCGATGATTAAAAAGGGAAAGCCATATACGTACACACTTTAATTAGGTACATAAGGAAATCTGCTGCATTCACGCGTGGCATGGCTGTACATGCCAACCTGTCCGGGCCGATTGCGAGTAGGAGTTAACGCGTACGTTCGCGTATTAGGTATTTCGCCTAGGAAAGGCCACACGAGAAGCCAGAACACCTGACAAATTTGTAAAAAAAGAAATGCTGGGCTAATTTTTGGTACTAGTTTATTAGTGTGAAATTACATCTTCGTCACCCAACCCTAGCCGTCAATCCCTATCTCCATTTGGATCTCTCCCTCTCGACTCCATGTTGCCGCCGCCGCCGCTGCGTTCCGTTGCGGCAAGCGGCGACGGGTGGCTCTCCCTCTCCGTCTCCACGGAGTCCACGGGGTCAGGAGAGAGCAACAAGCGCCTCAAGCGAGGCGGCGGCGGCGGATCGGTCGAGGACGATGGGTTCCCCCTCCACGACGAGGTCCTCCTCCTCGTGTTTGCGGCTAGCTCGCTGGATCTTCACGACCTCGTCCGGTGCACCGCCACTTGCAGGCGGTGGCGCCGCCTCGTCACCGGCAACGCGGAGTACATCTGCCGCTCCATGCTGCCCTCCAGCCGCCTCATCCGCGACCTCGCCGTCGGCTTCTTCCACCAGAGCCACGAGGACGAATCGTCTTCCTCTGTCGTGCCGCCTCGGTTCGTCCCGTTGCCCTCGGCCTCCTCCAGGTTCGGCGGCGGCGAGCTTGACAGGGTGCTCGACAACCCCGGCCTCTTCAAGAACTCCCGCCTCGTCGCATCACGGAAAGGCCGCCTCGTCGTCGAGCTCCGCCGCGCCTCCCGTGCCGCCGCCCTTAGGCTCGTCGTGTGCAACCCCATGACCGGTGACATGTCCGTCCTCCCCGTCCTCTCCGGGAAGGACAGGCCCGGGCTCTACGCGTGCGCGCTGCTCACCGCCGACGACCTTCAGGACTCCGCCGATCCGCTCCCACCGGGTCCCGCCGCCTTCCGCCTGGTGGTCCTCTACAAGCGCCGCAGCTTCACGGCGTGCCGGTCCTACTCGTCGGACACCAATGCCTGGAGCACCGAGCGCAAGCTATCCGGCGTCAAGATCGGCGGGAAGCGCCTGGGCGACATGGCCGCCGGTGTGACCTTCCGCGGCCGCGTGTTCTGGCTGGTGAACAGCGTGGTGTTCGTCCTCCACTTGGACACGCTGGTGGCGACCACCGAGAACATCTCATGGCATTGGAGGTGGAACGGCAAGCCATGCTTCTGCCTCGGTGACCCGGTGCCAAACCGCCGTCTCGCCGTCTCGCCGGACGGACGTCTCTGCGTGGTGCAGGTGGGTCGAAACTTGAGGACCTACAACCCGGTGATCAACGTCTTCGCTCGCCATGACAGTGGCGGCTGCAATGGGAGCACGGCGCAGAAGATCAGGTGGAAGGTGGAGGAGGCGCACGACGTGGAGCTGAGCCACCTGATTCCATTGGCGAACGTGAAGAGGGTTTGTCTGAGGGGCGTCTGCGAGAAGAGCGGGCTCATCTTCCTCGCCATCGGCGCAGACATGTACGCCAAGAAACCGGACCTGGCGCTGTACGCGCTGGACATGGAGAAGAAGGAGGCGAGGCTGGTGCCGGCGCCCCCGGGCCGCTGCTGCGTTCGCCGGTCGTCGTGGAGCTTCTTCGGGTACGAGTTGGACCGTGTGGACTACCTCGCCTCCCTCGCCGGTGGCGATTCCACCGCTAGATGATGGAACAAGCATCCATCTCTGCACTGAGGTAAGGAGAAGAAATTTGGGTCAGATTTTACTGTTGTCACCTGCTGAAGACAGCACTGTAGCTCGTCGGAAAAAACCAAATCAGGCATTATGAAACATATTTTCATACATCTTAATTACATCATATTGTTATAGTTTAATCAGTTTATAACATATGGACATTATATATAATCAGTAGAATTTTGTCATAATTATATTTTTCTCGAGTCACTAGCAATATCAGTGCATTGCTAGAGGGTTTATGATGTTGTTTGATATTGTGCACATGATGGGTTGCCATCACCTGGTTAGTGTTGGTAAAGGTCGAATGGAAATGTGTTCAAGATACACAAGAGAATCAAGATAGAGTAAAGAATCAAAAGTGAAAGCCATGTGCTCTTCAGAATGGATTGTGAACACATATGATGTTGCCCATTTGTGAAATGTGAACTGTGGTGGCCAAAGCCAGACCATGGTTTTCATTGCTGATTAGTATTGCTGGCTGCTAAACGTAATCTGCGGAATCAATCCATCATATACTACATGTCTTTTGTACCATCCTGTGTACAAAGCAGCAGAGAAATGAATCGAAAATAAAGGGTGGGTGGGGGGGGGGGGGGTTATGGTTTAATCGGTGAAAGAGGGTGAAGAATCCAATCAAAGCTCTTGTGAAATGGACAGCAGGTGATGGATTGTCCTTACATATTTGCAGGATTTCTGAACTGTTCTCTCCGTCTCAAAATATATTTACTTCTGATCTCAATAATGGATATTCTTCACACGTGAATTTTCACAGCAGATTTTAAAATAAGCAGCACAGCAACTGCAAACTGGCCAAGGCTCCAAAACTAGTGCGATCATGAATACAGACACAAGGTTATTCTTAGTGGGCAAACACAGTAGCAACCCGTAAGACTCCTACCTCTGCCAAAAATTGTTTCCTTTTTTCAGCGAAACACTCCACAAATGTAGAGGATAATATACATGTGCGCTCATACACATCCTCATTATGAGCACATCTGAGATACTAGACCAACATAGATTACTACAAAACATCAAATAAGTGCTAAAACCGGCACCTATAGACCTTTTCCCACCTCCGCGGGTTGAAATCACAAAAAACGGAACCTTTAAGAAATTATAGATGTCGATTATAAATAAAAACTGGCACATATTCTATGTGTCGGTTTTTTTTAAAAAAAACCAGCACCTTTAATATTAAAAACTGGAGGGGAGGCGGTGGGCTCCCATGGCTGCCGGCGAGCTCCCCACGGGTGGGGGCGGCGTCCTCCCATGGGCGGTGTCCCGGCGGAGGCGGCAGGGCGACGACCGCGCCCCCCTCCACCAGATCTAGCCGGAGGGGAGGCAGCAGACCTCGGCAAACCAATGGTGGTGGAGGAGGCCGGGCGCAGGTGTTTGCTTTTGATTTTTTTTTTGTTGTTGTTTAATGGCTCTATGTTGTTGGATATGTTCTTGATTTGGGTGATTGGGAACTTAATTTGTTTTTGGATGAATGGTGAAATGTGTTGCTGGATGAATGGTGAAATGTGTTGATGGATGTGTTCTTGATTTAGGTGATTGGGAGCTGCTCGATGCATCTGAGCCTTTTTTTTGGCTCGTGAAAACATCTTAGTTGCCGGTTGGGAACCCCACAACTAGTATCTACATTTGTTATTGGTGTCAGTTGTAAAACCGACACCGATGAAAAACTCATCTGTGCCGCCTTCGTGGTGCCGGTCAACCGGCACCTAAGGGGGTTTCCCAACCGGCGCCATTTAGGGGTTTTGTAATAGTGATATCTTAAGTGTGAAGAATGTTTTGTTTCTATTTCACAATAGGTGATGTACAGTTAAAAAAACATATCTATGTATTATAAAGAACTTTTTGGATCGCTGGAGGAAAATAATTTTTCCATGGTGGAAGCCCAATGAAATGATATCACCTAGATCACAGATGTTAAGAATGAGTTGTCAAGTGAAAGCTTCAAGGAGTTGGAAGTTAAAGAGGCAATTTTTCAAATGGAACACAACAAAGCTTCAGGACTTATGGTTTCCCAGCAGAGTTTTAGCAAGTGTTCTAGGATATACTCAAGGATGATCTTATGGCTCTCTTTCAGGAATTTTATGAAGGAGCTTTGCCACTACACAGATTAAATTTAGGGATCATTACCCTACTACCCAAGCAAAAGGACGCCAGTAGGATTCAATAGCATAGGCCTATTTGTCTGTTGAATGTTTGTTTACAAATAGGCTTAGAAGGTCATTAAACCTTCACACACAGCTTTCTTGCCAGAAAGGAATATTATGGAAGGAGTGGTAATTCTGCATGAAACACTTCATGAATTGCGCAGGATAAAGAAGAATAGGGTGATTCTGAAGTTAGACTTTGAGAAAGCTTATGACAAAGTTGATTGGATGTTTTTACAACAATCGTTGCGAATGAAGGATTTCTCTTCTAAGTGGTACAATTGGATTGACTCGACTATTAGGGCTGGGAGTGCGGCAGTCAAAGTAAATGATGACATTGGCAGTTATTTTCAAACTAGGAAAGGTTTGAGATAGGGTGATCCTTTGTCAACTATTCTGTTTAATCTTGTTGCAGATATGCTAGCCATTTTAATGCAGAGGGCAAAAGATCAGGGTAGATTCAAAGGAGTGGTACCTCACTTAGTTGATAATGGTCTCTCCATTTTAAAATATGCCAATGATACTATTCTTTTAATAGATCATTATCTTGATGAAGCCAGAGATCTCAAACTTGTACTAAGTGCATTTGAGAAATTATCTTGTTTAAAGATTAATTTCCATAAGAGTGAATTATTTTGCTATGGCAAGGCAAAATGTGGAGAACGAGTACGTCAAATTATTTTGGTGTGATACCGGGGCTTATCCTTGAAATACTTAGGGATTCCAATGCATCATAGGAAAATCACCAATAAGGATTGGAAGGGTGTGGAGGAGAGGATTCAAAGGAAATTGAGTAGTTGGAAAGGAAATTTTCTCTTGGTAGGAGGAAGGGTGGTCCTTATCGATTCGGTGTTAAGCAGTTTAGTGACATTCATGTTGTCCTTCTTTGAGATACCTATGGGTATTCTCAAAAAGTTACACACCAATAAGGATTGGAAGGGTGTGGAGGAGAGGATTCAAAGGAAATTGAGTAGTTGGAAATAAAATTTTCTCTTGGTAGGAGGAAGGATGGTCCTTATCGATTCGGTGTTAAGCAGTTTAGTGACATTCATGTTGTCCTTCTTTGAGATACCTATGGGTATTCTCAAAAAGTTACACACCAATAAGGATTGGAAGGGTGTGGAGGAGAGGATTCAAAGGAAATTGAGTAGTTGGAAAGGAAATTTTCTCTTGGTAGGAGGAAGGGTGGTCCTTATCGATTCGGTGTTAAGCAGTTTAGTGACATTCATATTGTCCTTCTTTGAGATACCTATAGGTATTCTCAAAAAGTTACACTATTATAGGTATAGATTTTTTTGTAATGTGATGAACATAAGAAGTATAGGTTAGCAAGATGGAGTATATTGTGCAAACCAAAGGAATGTGGTGGATTGGGTATATAGAACCTAGAGATACAAAACAAATGCTTGCTTAACAAATGGTTGTACAAACTAATTAATAAAGAAGAGGTTTGGCAGGGCATTCTTAGGAATAAATACTTCACATCGTACAAGTCAAAAACGTCCTAGATATTCACATTTTTGGGCTGGGCTAATGGGGGTGAAGGATATGTTTTTTAAAGGCGAAGCCTTTAAGGTGGGGGATGGTTCTTAGATAAGATTTTGAGAGGAATGTTGGAATGGTTTTTTACCTTTCGAAAAGCTATACCCTACTTTATACAGCCTTGTAAGGAATAAGAATGCTAAAATTGTAGATGTTATAGATAAGGTGTTCTTTAATGTTGCTTTCAGGATGGCTTATTTTGGTGCGGGTAGAATTTGGTAGCTTGGTTTAACTTAGTGGTTAAAGTGGTACTTTTTACGCCCTCAAACCATAGACACAAGTTTATTTGGAAAGTTAACAAAATCGGAATATTTTCGGTTTGCTCCATATATAAAATGATTATGTATGAGGATGCAGTACCAAGGAAGAATTTAATTTGGAAACTTAGAATTCCTTTGAAAAACAAAATAATCTTGTGGTATTTAGAAGGGAGTGATTCTAAAAAACTTAGAAGGGAGTGATTCTAAGAAAGGACAATCTAGCAAAAAGAAATTAGAAGACATCTCTTCTTTGGTTGTCTTGAGGCTAGATTTGTTTGGAGTACTCTTTTTATTACCTTTGGGATAAATCCGCCTAACAATGTTGCTAATATGTTTGGGATTTGACTAAAGGGTATATAATCTAGGCTAAAGTACCAAATCTTAATAGGGATCGTGATGTTGTTTTGGGCAATGTGGATCTGTAGAAATGATGTGGTCTTCAATGGCTACAACTTTAACTCTTACTTGCAAGTTATTTTCTGGGGGACATGTTAGGCTTGGCAATGGTCCTTGTTGCTTAAAGAAGAGGATCGTGATGTGATGAAGGAAGGATGCAAACTGCTAGAGGCAATTGTCATGCACTTCTGGTAAAGATGGGTGGAACTTAAGGAAACGGTTAAAGCAGTAATTTGGTCATTGGTTGGTTTGGATGGTCTTTTCGCCTTGATAGGTGTTGGCGTCTTTGTTCTCTTTAGTGTTATGTAAGGTGTTTGAGCCTTTGTGCTCCTTTTGGTGGTAAACTTTTGTGTAAGACTAAGCTAGTACGCTCGGAATTTATGTGGCTGTATACACCCAGTTGGTGTAGAAGCTAGGTTTTATAAATTCCCATTATCTAAAAAAAGGTTGATGTTTCAAAAAAAAAATCTAATGACATGGTCTAGATACCATTGATATATTTGGTTGTGTATCCACTTGTCGATATAATACCTGAATATTTATCCATTATATAAAAAAGATGTCTGATATATTTGGTTGTGTATATCCACTTGTGAATGTATATATTGGACGGATTTTTATCCATTCTATAAAAACGATAGCAGTGATATATGCTAGTTTCTCTTTATAGCACTACTACATATCTCGATGTTATTACACCCACCTTCTATTGAAAAGAAATCTAAACATATACTAGTTATGGTATTGTATAAACAATTACATGGACGGACAAATCAATTGCACAAAATTCCGGTTGTCACAAGCTGAAATACAAATATAAGAAAAACAGATAATATGAAGTGAACAATAGTTAGCACAATCTTGTACTATGACAGTACTTAACACAATCTTTTATTGCACACAAGTTGGCTTCTCTACTTCGAATTACATAAAACATAAGTATGAGCGGGCTAAAACTGACTTGTTTTTATTAAAAAAAATAAACGAAACGACACTGATTTATAATGTAAGTCACACAGATATATCCTCCATCTCATAGCTCTTCCTTTTCCGTTGATCTAAGCGTTGGAGAAGTCATTGTTGGCTGGAGTGGATGGAGCAGAAAGGACTGAGCTACTTACACTAACAGCAGTTTCCAAGCTCAATGGAGTTCCTTCAGTACTCATCTCCTCAAATTGTTGTGGACTTATGTTGTAGTTTCCTTGTCTGCTCTTCCTAGATCTTCTTAGAATCACAAGTTGTTCCGCAACTTCCTTCATATCAGGCCGTTCTTCAACCTTTTCTTTCAGGCACTCCATTGCTAATCGACCAATTTCTTCCAAAATGAATATTTCTTCTTCAATTGTAAAATCTTTGTCGAACATTGCCCTCCCACTATTTTCTTGCTCATAGGCCTTTTGGAAGTCAATTAAGAGACTGCAATTAGCATCATATATTGTTGGCTTCCTGGTGATGAGCTCTAATAGAACGACTCCAAAACTGTAGACATCACTCTTTTGTGTTAAACGCCCGGTTTTATGAAACACAGGGTCTATGTAACCCATGCTCCCCACTACAAACATAGTGAAGTCTTTATCCACGGTAAGCAGCTTGGATGTCCCGAAGTCTGAAATCTTAGGTTTGAATTTGTCATTCAGAAGTATGTTGGCTGGTTTAACATCACCATGTCGTATGGTGCGGTTTGCGGATGAGTGCATATATCTTAGCCCTTCTGCAGCTTCAACTGCAATGTCCATGCGCAAGTCAAGTGGGAGTGGGACTCGACGGTTGTTGTCACCATGGAGAATGTCTTGTAGATTTCCATTTGCAGCAAACTCATAAACCAACATTGGAACATCCACCTCCAAACAACACCCTAAGAGCTTGATGATATTTGTGTGAATCATTTGAGATTGGATGATAACTTCATTGGTAAAATCCTCTTTTCGAGCGTCATTTACCTCAATTGAGGCTTTCACTGCCACCAAGGTGTTATCTTCAAGAATCCCTTTATAGACTTTGCCAAAGCCTCCTTGACCAAGAACTTCTGAATTGTTCTTTGTTATTTTCTTAAGCTCATCCTTGGTAAAAATCTTGATGTTCTCTACTTTCTGTAGTACTGAACCACCATTCTTTCTGAAATATTCATTCATTCTTCTCTTTTGGCGCATCATTAGAATGAATAGGAGACCAACGATCAAAAAGGAAATGCCAAGAGTGATGCCTACAAATATTGTGTGGTTTTCAGTGTGCATCACTTATGTTATATTTTTTGTAAAAAAAATAACAAATAAGAATGTAGATCAATTTGCAAAATACCTAAAGCAATTTGTGCTGCGAGGGGGAACTTTGGGCTGCAGGGTTGTTCTTTTGGATCACCACTGTTTTGGTAACCCCGATGGCATTTGCAATCATATGAACCATCGGTGTCCTGGCAAATGCCATGGCATGGATAGTCAGATGGCCGATCGCACTCATTGATATCTGCATGATTTTTATAACCATCACCACTAACATCTTCCAACTAATAGTATAACTTTTTTTTATATTGATTGACCAACAATTCATCCACAATTAATGTATCATGACAAATGATATTTATAAGTCATTTTTTAACCATTTATAACTTTTGTATCAACATGCAGGTTTACTTTTTATCGGTAATACAAAAGTTAATAGCCTTTTAAAAAATTGCAGTAGTCAAATCCCTAAGAATGTGAATGAAGAAGTCCTAATCTCCAAAAATAAGAACAATCCAAGTTTAAAATTGTAATATAGTTATACTACATTCAATATAACCTGGCACACCATATCTAGGTCAAATTGTGGGTAAGTTGACAAATGAGGAGAACACTTACAAATAGTAAAGGAAATAATGATCAACTCTCCTTGTTGTGAATGTCAAGGTGTGAAATATATGAAGATGAATAATACTTTCTTGATACGTCATGATTTACATATTAGAATTCTAATATATCTAGAATTTTTACTATATACATTCGAATGACCATAAACATAAAGCATTAAAAAGTTTGTATTAATTTTGTCCTTACAAAAATGGTGTACTTAAGCTATAGTTCTATGCATGTCATGTAACTTTCAGGCTATGTGTTGCATAGTGTAGGTAGCAATAATAAGAAAGAAGTATGAACAACTACAACAGCAAAAAGTATAGATGAAAGAATTTTACAAACAAAAGAAGCCATAAACCGGCAGTGATGCCACTACCACTGGTAATAGTATTGTATCGACCCCTTGACAAATACCCCTATGCTTGTCTTTTCATGGTTTGAATCAAAAGTGGTAGCGACGTCCCATTTTTGAAATTTCTAGGTTGTAGCTGTGTATTGAAAGTCGCATGTAATGCAATTCTTGATGCAAAAATACACATGCATCAGGTATAATGATTTGACCCAAGACGCGCCTCACACATAGCCTCCTTACCATCTCATCTATATAACCCTTCTTGCTTAAAAATCATATGCTATTTATTTTGTCTCTTCATGTCCATGACATATATTTCATATTTGGCAATCCATGAATTCAATTAGGAAAAAATCAACTACAAAGTTACAGATATGATTGAGCTCCGCAACATTCATTTATAGTTTGTTTTCGTCAGAAGTAATTTGAAAATTTCAAGAATTTGGACATGTAAACTTCTAACATATATTTGGGCATGTAAACGATTTTAACATTCAACTATGATCTTGTAGTTCTCATGAAGATCTATAATTTGGATATAGAGCTCATTCCTCATCCGAAGTCATTTAAAAATTCAAATATCCACCTAGAACCTCTAACACATTTTTTTTATCCAAAACCTCTAACACATATTTAGGCATGTAAACATTTAAAATGAAACAATTGTCAAATAATATATTATAAATCTAGTCAAGATCTATAATTTTGATATAGGGTTGGTCTTCATCTGAAATCATTTGAGAAATTATCCAAATAATGCAACAATTTAAATTATCCAAATTAATATCTAAAAATTTCAAATGCATATTCGTGCATGCAAACTCTCTAATGGGAATGTCACCACCTACAAAGTTATAGATCTCATTGCTCTACAATTTTAATGTAAAATTTGTTTGCATCCAACTTAATATGAAAGAGCTATTATTTAAGTATCTCTCTTGGTTCAATACTCAATAAACATGATGAATTATTAGAGTTTGTTCATGTTATGAACCAGTAATGATACTTAATAAGAACCAGTTATTTGTATAGAGCATATCTCCATATAAGATTGTGTGAAAAAATTGAAAATTTGAATTTTCACTCATCATTGACAAGTCGTAACTACCACCTGCCAGAGATAGCATTATCTTTGACGTGTGGTAGTTAAGACCTGTCAGAGATGAGTGGTCGCATCTATGATGATTCATAATAGTTAGCCAATGACAGATGGGCATGTCATCTGTGACGAGCCATGGTTTGTCACCCGTCACAGATCATCTATCACAGATTATAACTACAACTCGTCACAGATAACCTCACATCTGTGATGGGTCCTCCCCAGTAGCCATATGTCTAACGAGTCATGTTGATCCGTCAGATGTCATGTCAGAGATGTGATGATCTATAGTACTTCCTCCGTCCCATTTTAAGTGTAGTTATGGGTTTCTATGTTGTCACACCCTAAAAATCCTAAATATATAAATTGTTGTTTAAATGGAATTATTAGAATTTATTTTTAAAAGCCTAGAAGAGAAGATCTAATTTTAATTAATAAATTCCAACATAAAATGGGGCCAGATAAAATTTCATTAAATACTTTGCTTAATTCTATAATTCCTAGATTTTTCTGGGATTTATTTGAGCTAAGGAAGTATTTTTAATAAATGGAATTGTATTTCATGAATAATTTAAATTGAAAAAAAGGTTTTTAAAAGTCTCTTTTGGCTTTGGGCCGAAAGTCGGCCCAAAACCTTCTGTCTCTCTCCCCGGCCCAAGTCGGCCCAGTCCGCCGCAGCTGCGCGCGCGCCCTCGCTCGCTGACAGGTGGGGCCCGCCTGTCAGGTCATCGTCTTCCTCGCGCCACTGCCGGCCGAAACCCTAGCGCCGCCGCCGCTTTCCAATTCGGCCGCGTCTTTCCCGATCTGGTGAAATCGATTGAGGGGAAATGTTTCCCGAGATCTCCTCTACCTTTTCTCTTTTGGAATCATCCTCTAAATCGCTTTGGAAGTTCGTGGATTCGAGGTCGAATCGGATCGGTCTCTTTCCTCCGAACCCCTAGGTTTCCTTCGCGTCGCCGGTCGCCGTGGGCCTTCGCCGCTGCCTCCTTGCCCCTATAAAAGGATCCCCGGTGTCTCCTCTACCCACCGCCACCCTCGCGTTCGTCACTCGTCGTCGGAAGCGCCCTAGCGCCGTGTAACCTCGAGTCGCCGTCGTCGCCGTCGCTCCAGCCGTGCGCCGCCGCCGTTCCGGTCGTCGTCGTCGCTCGGGGAGGTTGCCATCGTGGTCGCCAAGTCACCGCCGTCCTCGTCCGCCCCTTCGCCGCTGCCATTCCGGTCGTCGTCGTCGCTCGGGGAGGTTGCCATCGTGGTCGCCAAGTCACCGCCGTCCTCGTCCGCCCCTTTGCCGCCGCTGTAGATCGCCGGAGCACCGCCGTCGTCGTCAAGCCGAAGACCGCCGCCGCTTCTTCCTCGTCGCCGTCGCCGTCCGTTGATCTTCCGCCGACGTTTTGGTCATCGGTGAGTTCGCCGCGTCGCGATCTACGTCCTGGTGCCCTCCGTTCGTGCCGAAGCGCCGTCGTTTGCCGGCGAGTGTGCAAGCCCGAGCCGCCGCCGGTGGTGACGTCACCGCTGACGTCATCAGGGTCCGTCTGCCGTGAGCCGCCGTAGAACCGATCGATCTCGGCCGTCCGTTTTGGATGGATCGATCTCGGCCGTTCGTTCCCGTGAACCGCTGCCGTGCGCCCGGTCCACCGCAAACCCTAGCCGCTGACGCAATAATTTCCTTTTCCTTTTCAAAAATAATTCATTATTGCGTCGTAATTCCATTAAAATCCATATAAGTGTTTTAATCCGATTTAATCTTTAAAAATTCATAACTAATTCATCTTAGCTCGGATTTAGTTGGTTCAAGTCTCTAAATTTTTCTAAAATTGAGATCTACATGTTAAAAATATCCACATGTTCTGTTCATGCTTGTTTATGTGCTGTTTTGGTGTTTTTGCTCTTTTCTGTTTAGATTCCGACGTTTCCGGAGAGTCCGTTTTCGCAGGAGAAGAATTTGAAGAGTTCCAAGGCCAGCAAAGCAAGTCACACAGATCCTAAACAACCCTTTGAGCATGTTGATCCCATTTAAAGCTATTGTTTCTATTCAAATATTGCATTTATTTTCGAATGTCATTGGGTGGAATCAACCTATTGTTTGTTATAGCCTTTTGTTCTTGATTACTTTATTCCTTGATACCTTGGGTTATTATAACTTGACTAGTTGAGCTTTATATATATTGGTTCAGCTAGATATTAGATGTGATTGCTTAGCCATGCTTAGAAACAATAGCACACTATTGGGATAACTTATGACTCACTATTATTTAATGATGGCTTAATAATAGCTCACGATGGTCAATCGTGATTGGTTAATTAATTATTTGCCAACTAAAACTTGATAATGGTGGGTTGTGAGCACATGGTTTTGAGAGTCGTGCTCATGACAATTAAGGACCGGTTCACGAGTTTCGGTTGTGAAACATTAATCGTGCCAACCACAAGCCAGCGTGGGCAACGGCTTTACCTTTTGTATAGCATGGTTCATTGCGGGGCACCAGACTAAGAAGTGGCGGAGATAAGCCCACGGGGGTCGCTGGGGAGTCCATGCCTTGTTTATAAGGGGGTGATTATGATCCAGGAATGGTGCGCTGCGGTGGATTGTGTTGTGCGAGGGGTACTGTCACAGCTCCTTTCCGAGGTACCGTGGTGGTATTGAGGCACATGGTGACATGATGTGGGGCTGTGTCTTGTGGGTACAGTGGTACACCTCTGATCAGAGTAAAACTATTCGAATAGCCGTGCCCGCGGTTATGGGTGGGTCTAACAATGTCTTTCGTGATTAGTCTCACACCTCTCATCATGATAATAGATGCTATAAATGGTAATAATTTGTTTAGCTCCTGGTTTGGAATGGTATATTCCTGGTTTGGAGATAGATCTGTACAGCCGGGTATGGTTGTTCAGAATGGTTGGGCCTATACAACAGGGTATATTGTATAGCGTTGGATTAATATTGATTAATTATTACTTAACTGTTTTATTAAATTCTGAAATGTTTATTAAATGCTGTTTATGCAAATGAAACCCTATTATGCCATCATTTGTGATCCTGTGCACTTGCATATTTGCTGCGTGACTTGCTGAGTATGTCATATACTCACCTTGCAATCATTCATCAGAGGAAGAGTTCTACAGTGATGCTGATGGTGTGGAGGATTAGGTGTAGCCCTGGTCAAGCTGCCTGTGGAGTGGAGTC